CATCTATTTAATTATCTCAGATGCACTTCTATTATTATAAATTCTTTCACTAAAGTAATTTATGGAACTTTTGTTATGCTCTTCCTACAACCACTTGTCATTCATCCAAGATAATTTTTCCTTGATGAGTCTTTTGTGAGTAGATAAGTAAGGTTGAACTTTGTCACATTATTCAATATATACTACTTCATTCCATATTATAAGCAAGTTTCATCTTTTTAGATTCGTTGAATAATTAATGTATCTAGCAATATATATATATATATATATATATATATATATATATATATATATATATATATATATATATATATATATATATATATATATATATATATTGCTTGAAGAACTACATTCCAAGTTGTTGACTTAACATTTAAACCTTGACTATCTGGAATTCCTATAGAGTCTGCTTTTGACAAATTGTTTGAACATAACTCAACAATTTCTTCTGTGGTATACTTTAAAAGATCAAAACTTCTACTCGGTGAAGATTCTTCGCATACCCTTTAAAGATCTTCATGTATCACTCTATTGGATACATCCACCTTAAATAAATTGAACTATAAAATTTGATTTCTATAACTATATGAATAATTAAGTAAATCATAATGTCAAAAGATAATGGAGGGAAATACATTTACAATTGAAACAATATTATTGAAACCTCATCTTCCGATTCATCTATTTTTTTTGGATCAAGTACTTTATTACATATAGAATTAAAGAATAAGCATAATCTAGTTATAATTACCCTTACATTTTTGTAAGATGCCACATATAGCCACTGGTAGATGTTGTAGTATCAAGACATGACAATCATGAGATTTTGAGCCAATTAACTTGAGATATTTAGTTGATACAAGTTTCTTAATATTGGACGAGTACCCTTTGGGAACTTTTGTACCATTCAAACATTTAAAAAAACTCACATTATGACAATGTCTTACATCGAGGTTAAACTAATATGGAAGATCAAATAATACTGACCTCTTTTTTCATATGTTTTTCTCAACGAACCTTTTTGTTTCTTTGAAAAGATAACATTAATGTATTTTTGTATTTTATAAACTTCATCCCTAGTTAAAGTCTTATGAGTGATATAAAACTTCTGCTCTCTATTAAAATCCTAAATCTACGATATGGATGATTGAGATTTAAAAATTTCCAATGGCCAATCTTTTTTCCATAATGAAGTTGGTGCGATAAGTATTAGATTCACATATAGGACACAATTTATGTACCTCAATTTTGTATCTAGAAAAATTATTATATGCAGGAAAGTCATTGATTGTGCAAAATAATATACATCTTAAACTTTTCATCCAAATATGCATCATCAACATCAACGTCTTCCTCCCACAAAACTCTTAAATCTTCAATCAATCGACTTAGATAAACATCTATGTCATTTCCAATTTGTCTTGGCGCTGAAATCATCATAGATAACAACTTATATTTGCGCTTCATGCATAATCATAAAGATATGTTGTAAATCATGAGAAAAACATATCACAATATATGGTTAGTACTCAAATTATCAAAGGGGTTCATTCCATTAGTTCCAAGTCCAATCCTAAGGTTTCTTGGCTCATGGAAAAAATCTGGATACAACGAATCAATTTTCTTTCATTGCAAAGAATCAACTATATGGCGATTTTTTCTATCATATTTTCTTCCATCTGCATGCCACCAAATAGTCTTCGCGTCATTAACATTAGCGAATAGTCTCTTGAACTTTGGAATTATTGGAGGGTACCATAACACTTTGGTAGGAGGACCCTTTTTTGTTTACATCATCATTGTCATCAACATCATTGTCCTCCACCTTGTAGTGCGACCCTCGTACTTCAGACATTGATTCAATTTTTTACACTCTTTCATGTACAATATCAAGTCATTACAACATGCATGCATTTTCATGTAATCCTATCCAATTGAAAACAATATCTTATTGGCCTCATAACTACGATTTGTCAACTTGTTACCTTGTGGAAGCATTTATTTTAACAATTTAAGCAATTATGTGAAACTTTTATCTGTCTACCCACTATTTGCCTTCAAATTAAACAATTTTAACACCACAGACAATTATGTAAAATTTGTGCACCCCTTATACAATGACTCATCATTGTCACTAGATAAAGCATCATACATATGGGCTTTTCTAAAATAATCTTCTCCAATATCACATATTATATCTTCTAGTCGATCATCCATATCTACATCAACTCCATATCTTTGTGACGTTGTAGATTAGTTTTTATCCACTTCACCATACCAATCCATATTGTATAACGTTAACTAATTTTATCGCAATATATGTGTTTGAATATTATATTATTTTCAAATTTTTCGATATTCACATATAAATCAAGGACAATAATGTTGGATTTGAGACTTCACACACAAGAGGGAGGAGGGGAGGGATTATGTGGTTAAGAAAAAATTGATTTTGAAAAACTTTGGGAAATAAAATCATAGTTTAAAAACATTTTAGATAATTAGCAGTGGAAAAATAGTTTGTAGAAAATAAACAGCAGAAAAGTAAAAAGTTAAGGGAAAAGAAGAGAACCATAAATCATAGAGGTTCAATAAAAATTTAAAAGGATATACTTATCTCCCAAAGAAGTGGTCGTGAGAGTTTCCACTAACTTGAGAGCTTTTAATAGGATATACTCACGAACCCCCTTATACAAGAAAAAGTGGTTAAGCTATAACCAAACAATAGAAAACTTCAGTATATAGAAGTTTGAGTCTTCTCTTCCACACAGTAGATTGAAGTGGTTAGTCTTCTCTCTACAAACAATAATCATAGGGCGATTGGTCTTCAAGCTTCATAAACCTTGCAAGCTTTTATCACGGGTGCGGTTATGAATGTTAAACCTTGGTTTTACATGAGATAACCAATAACATGTGAGAATTCCCCGAACCTTATCCAAGCCTTTATAATGGGCTAAGCTTTAACCTAATCTTGTTTTTACCCCGAAGTGTCCAAGAACCTATGAGATTTTAATACGGGCTAATCTCGAACCTAAACTAGGGTTTGATCACACAATCCCCAAGCAAAAGCTTTTAACGATCTTCTAACCAAAATAAAATTTCCTAAGTGGAAAATATTCAACCAAGGTATAAAAACAAATCCTTTGTGAATTTTACAATTCTACACTTCTAGGTTTGGTTTATCATTATTTTAGTTTGGTTTAAATGCTCTGATCTGCAACATCGAGAATGCGGTGTTTGTTTGTTTCAGTTTATGATTTGAATTATGTCGTTAATTTAGTACTCCTTTTGTTGATATAAATTGAAGTTAATTGTTTAGTTGATTTTCCGCTGCGAGCATGTTAATTTCAAATGAAAAGTATGTTGTTTTTGTCGAGTAGCATCCTAAATTGTTTGTTTAATCCTTTTAAATTAATTTGTGGGGTTTAGGGTGTTACAATGCCTACTAATTCCGAGAAATTACAAGTGCATGTTCTTTTTGAAGTGTCCACTATGAAACTATGTCTAGTATGAATATGTCCAACTTGCCATATTTTTCACCGACCAATTTGGAATCCAACTACCAACATGTTCTACTTATTTATCTAACCTAAGTCTAGGTCTAGGCATTATCATATGTTGACATCTATCAACATTTTCTCTTAAGCTACCATTCCTATTCATGATGTAGTTTCTTATTCATTCACACATGATTAAGAGTAGTTTACCCCTAGCCACTAATATTGTGCTATTAAATGCTTCATATGCATTATTCATTAGCACATTACATTTGTGATTATAAAGAAAATGCATGCTTACACCATCTAAATGCCTAAGACATAGATTGCGCTCCATCCTCTCAAACATTTCTTCAAACACATGGATTAAACCCTACAAAAGAAACAAACATTTATCAGGGATGAAATCCATAAGTCAAACATGTACTAGGGATGAAATCCAAAATTCAAACACGTGTCAGGGATGAAATCCAAAAGTCAAACATGCATCAGTGATGAAATATAATAAAAAACAAGTATTGAAATATACCTTTTGTTGGTCAGAGATGAAAAACCATCTTTTTTCTTGGCCAATGTCCTCCAAAAGCAAAGTAAGGAACCACCTCCATGACTCTTTTGTTTAAGTTTCACAAACAAGGTTCATCCATATTTTGTCTTAAGATGACATTTATTAACACCAATGGATGGTCTGCAAGATATGGTGAACCCCTTCTTAAGTCCATCAAAGCAAAAGTAAAAACTCCCAAACCTTGGTTGTATTGTGGCTCCAACCTTTATCACATTAATTTTGTAATTGTTCTCTGAATTTACCATCCTTAAATCTATAGAATATCTCCCTAACATGGTATATTATTTTGCTGCATCACCTTCAACCAAAGCTTTTGCATCTTGCTTTGCCTTCCATGCCATATTCATAGTTATACCAACAGAGTAATTACTCTTAATCTCAAAAACAATATCATAAATCTTGATTCCATCTGAAGATGCCATCCTAGCTGCCACAGTCTTAGAAATCCATTTGAAATTGACTGAACTACTATTCAATACCCCGTGTGAGCACCAACCCATCTCTTCATTCTATACATGTGCTTACTCCCAACCTTACTAACAAGTGCCAACAATCCACATTTTCCCTTGCAAACTACTTTTACTCTAACTTTGTTACTTTTCACATACTTTATCTCTCAACCATTTAATACTAGCCATTCATTAATTGCCTCCTTAAATTCATCAAGTGATACAAACTCCAGTTCCACTCTAAACTTGTAATTCCTGTCTAACTCCTACATCTTAAACCTAAGATACTTTAGTTCACTCTCTTGATCTAAAGCATCAGGATCACTACCACTAAGCTCATCACTAGCATAATCAGTGTTTATCTCATCGTTAACACCACTAGATGAACCTACATTATCATAAATAATTCTTAATTTCTTTGGAGTATTCTTGTGCTTCCTTGTTATTTGTTTAACCCTTTTTCTTTTGTCCTCAAATTGTTTTTCATTTAAATTCATCATCCAACTCAAGAGCTCTCTCATCCTCACTATCATAAAATCTTATACCATTAGCTTCAAAGTCACTATCATCACTGTCATCACTATCCTCATGTTTATCTTCTTCAACATTAACAACACCTTCATCATTAACACCACCAACACCATCATCATTAACACCATCCTTAAAATTAACAACACCATCATCATAACCATTAACATCATCCTCAATATTAATGTTAACTTCATAATTAACAACACAATCATCCTCGATATTAACATTAACACCACCTTCTTCCTCGACATTACCATCATCAACTACTCTATGCTCGACATATATGTCCATTACATATTTCAACAACAAATTTATAAACCTCATTAGCATCACTATCACTAACCATTATACTATATTTGTCTGATACATTATTATACCACCATAACCAATATTTTGAATATTCAAGATGACAAAGGTCTTTCACGATACCAGTAGAATTAAAGAAGCTCCACTTATCAGGATAAATGTCTACTATATGTCCATGTCCACCTAGGTAATATACTACATTGCCCCAAACAAATTTCCCCCTGTAATAAAAGATCACAGTAAATATCATACTTGGTTGAATCGATTGTCTTGCTCAAACGCAATTTTGATTTGTCTACCACAGTCGCCGCCCATATACCTCTTCTTTCTCATAATCGCCTTCCCAAGAGCTCACGAACGTTTCCTCTTCTGAAACTCCAATTTAAAGTGACTAAAAATAAAACTTCAAAATGCATTTTTATGACATTTTTTGGTGAAAAATATTTGATCCACATGTAATAATGTGTCATAATAAAAATTGAAAAACAAAAGCCAAGTTAACAACTTTAGTCACATGATTTTTTAAAGAGAACCTTTATATCATGAATTAACGCCAACAAAAAAAAAACGATATAGGACATTGAAAAAAATAATTTTATGGACTAAAATCAAAAACTCGTAAAGGATTTAGTGACATAAGATTTTTTAACATATATTTAAAAATTTGTGTAAAAAAAAACATATATTTAAAAGATACAATATTTATATTTGGTTTTTTAATATGTGTCTCCCGCGCCAAAGATCATGGACCTTCCACTTTAAAACTATATTCAATTTTTAACTAGTTTCTTTTCTTTCCATTATAAAACTTCTTCTACTCCAAAGTGCTAACAAGTAACAACACTGCAAATTGCTAACAAGTAACAACACTGCAAAGTGCTAACACCGTTCACCTCCGTTAGTCAACGATTCACCAAAAATGATCGGAACTGAAAGAACAACCGCTCGTAACAGACTCAGATCCCGTTCCCCTGAACCCGATGCCGATTCTCGTGGCACAGGTAGAAGCCAACACGGAAACTATTCCGTTGTTCAAAAATTTCAAAATCAAAGTGCTTCTTGCCATCACCTTCTTCTTCATCACTTTGTTTCTCATTCGTCACTTTGTTAATTCCGTTGCAGAACCTCATCTTCCTCGCGTCGTAACGCCATTTCCCGCGCCGAAGATCATGGACCTTCCTCAGGTCAACTTCAACTTCATCATTTTCATCACTCTTTATCTTTCTTTCTTTTTTTGCTTTCTTAAATTTGGTTGATTGTGAATGAATCGGTTCGGTGTTGTCGCAGTTTCAAGGTGAGCACAAGGAGAGTTTGTATTGGGGAACTTATCGTCCCCATCTCTATCTTGGAATTCGTGCAAGGTATCCATTTTTCTCTAAATGCTTTATTGTGTGTTTTAGTTTATTTATTTATTTATTGATAATACTACGATGTGTCTATAACGGTATCGGTCACCTTCTGATACCATTTTGCCGCGGTAACCGAACGTTACCTTGCTCATAATGACATAAAAATTGACTGATTTATGCTTGCAACGACTGCTCACACATAAATTGAGTAAACCATCAATTTAGTCAATGGAGTATCACCCTCTCTAATGCCAACTGGATTGGTAGCTGTGTAAGGGATACCAGGAGTAAAGGAGTTAAAAGACTAGGTCCGATCATGGTGAGGGAGAAAATACTATCATAACAACAAACATACTAATCATGTACTATATTATTAAAAAATGATAACTAGTTTCTGAAGTATCTAAAATTTGTTATTTTAGTCCCTAAATCATATGAAAATCAATCATGTTAATTTCTAACATCTAAATAATGGTTTACATATAATTTACATACTAAATTGAAAGTATAGTGATGCTTTAGGGACTAAAATAATGGTTTGTTCCACAGAAATTTGTGCCTATATCTAGTTTAGATTGTGTGTGGGATTCCATTTTCAACAATATTTGACTTTCTCACTTTTTTTGAGTTTGTGTGTTTATGTCAGGACTCCACAATCTTTGATGGCTGGATTAATGTGGATTGGTGTGAAAGATGGTAGTAATCACTTGAGGCATGTCTGCAGATATGAGGATGGATTAAGTGCTTATGGTTGGACAAAGCATAATGGACGTGATTATGGGCATCAAGTATTAGTTGACCATGGCCTGATCTTGACTACCGAGTTCTTAAAATCAAATGGGGATGGCAGCGGTTATGGAGGCGACTGGGCAGTTCGAATTGGTGTGCAGATTGATAAGTAAGTGATGCTATATTAACTTCAAAATCAAATCACTTTGGTATAAATATTATGGCAGAACTACTTTGTTTCTAGTTTTTCCTTAATGAAAAGTAGGTAGTCAAAGATTTGTTCCCCTGTATGAGTATCCGCAGCTCTCAGTATTGCTATATTGAATGCTTTTTATCGAATGAACAACTTTGTTCTTGTGGTCAAACCCCAGGTCTAGGTGGAATGAGGAAGTTGGGCAAGGCGGCCAGCTCTTTTTCTATCTGGCTGATGAAGGTGGTAATGTTCTTGATGTAGGTAGAGAAAAATTGAACATTCACGAGAGTTCATTACTTGCATCTGGCTCTCGAACTGACATTGGAGACTGGCAGCTACATTTGAAGTCAACGGTAATGCTAGGAAAATGGTATTATGATTGAATATTCAAGTATATCTTGTTCGTACTACCATTAGACATAATTTTTGGAGTTAATGTTTAGTTGCATGTAGATAAATTGCCAATCAATCTCATTTAGTCTGCGCAAGGAAGACTTGATTTGGTGCAGAATATCAGGCTATCATATGATACAAATGAGACTCGTTACTCTAATTTGCAAAGTTTTTAACTCAAAATAGTTGTTTCAACTTTCAACCTAATAAGTTCATATAGTATAAGAGTCATAGCTTGTTGACCTGTCTATCCGATGCATTGTAGGAATAACATTCCCTTCGCCAAGAAAAACATAACAACTAGTGGTTGATCATCAATAATTGGGGCCTCCAGCCTAATATGCATATGTATTTGCAGCAACATTGGTATGACCCATGCTCTAATATTAATTCTTGTAGTAGAGATCCTTTGATATATCAAGATTCAAACCACTACATCACAATGACGATTGCGAGGAGAATTAAGGAATTGATTGAAAGTTTACAGAAAAGGCTATATCAAGTTTAGTTATAGTATGAATTTTTAAATTCTTAACCAGTCTTAAATATATACTAGGGTCAAAAAAGGGGTCTTTCTAATTAGTGTTAAATTGTAATTCGATTGTGTCGAAACAGTATATGTGTCGAAGGGAGGTTATCCAGTCAAAGAGCTTGTGGATCGAAGCAAACTACACACGTATTTGATTTGTTTTAGATTTAGATAGATTTGATTTAGATCTAAAATAGATAGATTTGATTTAGTACCAAAATAGGTATTTTGTACTTTTATAGTTTTGGGCTTAGACTTAGGGGCAAACTAACCTAAATCTATAAATAGAGGGAGTAACCCCTAATTTTATAATCAAGTCAATTAAGTTGTATTCACAGAATTTGCAGTTGCAAGTGAATAACAAAGTTTTCCACAGTTTGTGGGCAGAGAGAAGCTCTGTAGAAAATAATTGTCTTCTTTATTTTCTTTTCTTATAATTCATTGTCATTGTGTGGTGATATCAATCTTGTTCATCAAGATTGGTAGAAATTCATCATAGATATTTGATGGATTTCCAACATCTAGTATCAGAGCTCGGTTAATCGATTCAAGGGAAGTATCGATCAAGAACGATTCAAGATGGCGAGTTATGAGAATGCAAGTTATCCAACAACTCTATCAATTCTGAAAGTAGACAACTATGAGAATTGATACAAACAGATGAAAGTTTTATTCAGGTGTCAAGGTCTTTGAGATCTTGTAAAGGATGGATTGGAAGCGCTTGGAGAAAACGCTTCAGAAGAAGAAAAGAAGAAACACACAGAATCTGAGAAATTGAGTTATAAAGAACTCTTTATAATTCATCAATGTCTAAGTCTAGAAAATTTGGAAAAAGTGAGTGATTCAGAATCTGCAAAAGAAATTTGAGAGGTTCTTGAGAAGTCTTTTGGTGGTGCAGAGAAGGTGAAAGAAGTGAGGTTACAAACTCAGAAGAGAACGTATGAATTGCTTCAGATGGAAGATAATGAGAGCATATCTGATTTCTTCACTAGGGTTACAAAACTAGTGAATCAAATCAAGATATGTGGAGAAACATTAACCACAAGAGCTGTTGTTTCGAAGATCTTGAGATTTTTGACTCCTAAGTTCGACCACGTGGTGGTGGCTATAGAAGAGGGGAAAGACTTGTCGAAATTGACAAAGGAAGAGCTTAAAGGGACGCTTGAATCTCATGAACAAAGAATGACTGAAAGAGCTGCAGGCAAGTCTAAGAGTGATGTGCCTTTGCAGGCACATTCAGCAAAAGAAACCAAAGGCAAAGGAAAGTGGTTCGATAGAGGTAGAGGCGGCTACAACAAATCGACTGGTAGAGGAAACCAGAACGAAGGAAACATGTTTAATCAGAGAAGACCATACCAAGGCAACCAAAGAGGTGGTGTTGCAAATAGAGGAAGAGGTGGTGGTCGAAAACCTGACAAGAGCCACATTCAATGTTACAATTGTCAGAAGTATGGTCACTATTCGAGTGATTGTCCAGAAAAACGAAAGAATCAAGAAAGTGATGCAAAGTTTGCAAAATATGAAGAAGAAGAGATGATGCTGATGGTCACAACAAGAGATGAAGATTGATTCAAGGACCAATGGTACTTGGATTCAGGATGCTCATCACATATGTCTGGAAGGAAAGACTGGTTTGTCAACATAAAGCCCTCAAAGAAAAATATGGTAAAATTTGCAAATGACAATATCCTAGCAGCTGAAGGTATTGGTGATGTTATGATTATGATGAAAGATGACAAGAGGTCAGTAATTTCCAATGTGTTGTACATACCAGGCATGAAGAGCAATTTGCTCGGTATAGGGCAGTTGGTCGAAAAAAAATATAAAGTGTTGATCGAAGATAAGATGATGAGAGTCGTCGACGCAAATGGAAGATTAATCTTGAAGGCTCCTATGTCTTAGAATAGAACCTTCAAGATCGAACTAAATGTGATGGAGCACAAGTGCCTTTCGATTGTAGCTAGCAGAGATGAATGGATATGGCATTATCGACTAGGCCATCTCAACTTCAGAGACATCAGAGATTTGAAGAGAAGAAATGTGGTTTCAGGATTGTCAGAAATCGACATTCCAAATGAGGTATGTGAGGAATGTGTGCAGGCGAAGCAGCACAAGAATAGCTTCAGCAAGGATGCAGGAAGCAGGTCGAAGGTTATTCTTGAAGTCATACACTCTGATGTATGTGGACCAATCCAGGTGGATTCGATGGGAGGTAACAAATACTTTGTTACATTCATAGATGATTTCAGTCGAAAGCTTTGGACTTACCTGATCAAGAAGAAATGTGAAGTGATCGAAGTATTTGCCAAGTTTAAGCCTACGGTCGAAAGATAAAGTGGTCGAAAACTCAAAGTTTTGAGAACTGATGGTAGTGGAGAGTATGTGTCGAAAGACTTCGACAGGTTATGTGAAAAAGAAGGGATTGTGCATGAGGTGGTGCCACACTATACTCCACAACATAATGGAACTGTAGAAAGGAAGAATCGAATCTTCATGAATATGGTGAGAAGTATGTTGAAAGACAAGAATTTACCTAAAGAATTTTGGGGTGAAACTGTGTCGACTGCAACATATATTTTGAACATATGTCCTACGAAGAAACTAGAAGGAATTACTCCAGAAGAATGTTGATCTGGTGTGAAGCCTAGCTTGAGTCATCTGAAGGTATGTGGATCTGTTGCACATAGACATGTGCCAGATCAGTTGAGAAGAAAACTTGATGACAAGTCGAGTCAAATGATTCTAATTGGATATCATTCGACATGAGGTTACAAGTTGTTCGACCCAGTGAACAAGCAGATTGTGGTCAGCAGTGACGTGGTCATAAATGAGTTTAAAGAATGAGATTGGACTGAAAATGTCAAGAAAGATTCAGTGGGAATCTTACTTGAAGAACCAGAAACTCAAGACGAAAGAGATGTTCGACAAGAGGAACCAGCAGTTATAGATCAACCAAGTACAAGCAGACCTCAAAGAACAAGACGCGTGCCTGCAAGATTGCAAGATTGTGTGATTACATCAGATGATCTGATAGATAATGAAGGTGAGTTGGTACATTATGTTTTCTATGCAGATGTCGAACTTGTCAATGCAGCTGAAGTATTGAAGGATTTGAAGTGGGTGAAAGCAATGAATGAAGAAGTGAAGTCTATCGAAGACAACAACACTTGGTCACTTGCCGAATTGCCACAAGGCAAGAAGGCAATTGATGTCAAGTGGGTATACAAAGTGAAGAGGAATTCCAAAAGCGAAGTAACTCGACACAAAGCAAGGCTTGTGGCGAAAGGATTTCTACAGAAAGAAGGAATAGACTTCGATGAAGTTTTTGCACTGGTTGCTAGGATCGAAACAATCAGGTTGGTTGTTGGTCTAGCAGAAATAAACAGATGGCACATATGTCAGATGGACGTGAAGTGTGCATTTATGAATGAACCCTTAGATGAAGAAGTTTATGTTAAACAACCAGTTGGGTTTGTGAAACATGACGAAGAGAGAAAGGTGTACTGGCTGTATAAAATGAACCCTTAGACGAAGAAGTTTATGTTAAATAACCAGTTGGGTTTGTGAAACATGACGAAGAGAGAAAGGTGTACAGGCTGCATAAAGCCCTGTATGGATTGAAACAAGCTCCAAGAGCTTAGAATAAGAAAATTGATAGTTTCCTAAGGGAGAAGGAATTTGTGAAGTGCACGACTGAACATGGAGTATATGTAAGAAGAAGCAATAGTGAATTGCTTATACTATGTCTCTATATCGATGATTTGTTGATAACAGGTAGCTGCAAAAGTGAGATCAAAGACTTCAAAGGTGATCTCAGCAAGGAATTCGAAATGTCTGATCTGGGTGAGATTTCATATTTCCTTGGCATCGAATTCTACAAGAGCAGTAGAGGTTTGATGATGTATCAAAGAAGATATGCAGGAGAAATTCTCAAGAGATTTGAGATGGAAGAATGCAACTCAACTTCGACACCTGCAGAACCAAGACTGCAACTGTCGAAAGATGCAGATGAAGATGATGTCGACCCAACCCAATACAGAAGACTTATTGGGTTATTGAGATACCTTTGTCATACAAGGCCTGACTTAGCATATAGTGTAGGTATGGTAAGTAGATTCATGCAGAAGTCAAAGGTATCACATCTAGCAGCGGTGAAGAGGATACTAAGGTATCTCAAAGAAACTCTCGACTATGGCATTTTGTTTCCTGCAGCTGATAAAGGAAAAGAATGCAAGTTAGTGGAATACACTGATTCGAGTTGGTGTAGTGATGCTGAAGATCGAAAATCAACAGCAGGATATGTGTTTATGTTAGGTGGTGCACTAGTTGCTTGGAGTTCAAGAAAGGAACCAGTAGTGGCATTATCATCATGCGAAGCAGAATACACAGCTGCTTCTCTTTGTGCATGTCAAGCAACTTGGATGATGAACTTGGTCGAAGAGATAACAGGGAAAGATCATGGAGCAAATTGTTTCGACACAAAGAATTACTTTCAACACACCACCTAATTCATTGTGTCTAAGTTATTTACATTCATTATAGCTCTTAGTCTTCAAAATACTTCGACCTACACACCCTTCGTCATGATGTCTGCAATCTGATTTTCAGTCCTGCAGTGTTCCAAGTTCATCTTCCCATCTGCTACCTACTCTCGAAGATAGTGGAACCTCATTTCGATGTGCTTGCTTCGACCATGAGCTATCGGGTTCTTCGCCAGGTTGATAGCGGACATGCTGTCGATCTTCATGGTAATTGCTCCATGATCTTTCCCTATTATCTCTTCGACCAAGTCACCATCCAAGTTGTTTGACATGCACAAAGAGAACCAACAATGTATTTTGCTTCGCATGATGATAATGCCACTACTGGTTCCTTTCTCGAACTTCAAGCAACTGGTGCACTACCTAACATAAACACATATCCTGCTGTGGATTTTTGATCCTCAACATCACTACACCAACTCGAATTAGTGTACCTTACTAACTTGCATTCTTTTCCCTTATCAACTGCAGGAAATAAAATGCCATAGTCGAGAGTTCCTTTAAGATACCATAGTATCCTCTTCACTGCTGTTAGATGTGATACCTTTGGCTTCTGCATGAATCTACTTACCATACCTACATTGTATACTAAGTCAGATCTTGTGTGACAAAGGTATCTTAATGATCCAATAAGTCTTATGTATTGGGCTGGGTTGACATCATCTTCTTCTGAATCTTTCGACAATTGCAGTCTTGTTTCTGCAGGTGTCGAAGTCGAGTTACATTCTCCTATCTCTAATCTCTTGAGAATTTCACTTGCATATCTTCTTTGATGCATCATCAAACCTCTACTACTCTTGTAGAATTTGATGCCAAGAAAATATGAAATGTCACCCAGATAAGATATTTCGAATTCCTTGTTGAAATCGCCTTTGAAGTCTCCGATCTCACTTTTGTAGCTACCTGTTATCAACAAATCATCGACATAAAGACATAGTATAAGCAATTCACTATTGCTTCTTCTTACATATACTCCATGTTCAGTTGTGCACTTCACAAATTCCTTCTCCCTTAGAAAACCATCAATCTTCTTATTCCAAGCTCTTGGAGCTTGTTTCAATCCATACAGGACTTTATGCAGCCTGTACACCTTTATCTCTTCGTTATGTTTCACAAACCCAACTGATTGTTTAACATAAACTTCTTCGTTTAAGGATCCATTCAGGAATGCACACTTCACGTCCATCTGACGTATGTACCAACTGTTTATTTCTGCTAGACCAACAACCAGCCTGATTGTTTCGATTCTAGTCACAAGTGCAAAAATTTCATTGAAGTTTATTCCTTCTTTCTGGAGAAATCCTTTCGCCACGAGCCTTGCTTTGTGTCTCCCCTTTGGGATTCATCTTTACTTTGTATACCCACTTAACATCAATTGCCTTCTTGCCTTGAGGCAATTCGACAAGTGACCAAGTGTTGTTGTCTTCGATGGATTTCACCTCTTCGTTCATTGCTTTCACCCACTTCGAATCTTTCAATGCTTCAGCTGCATTGATAGGTTCAACATCTGCATAGAAAACATAATGTATCAACTCACCTTCGTTATCAACCACATCATCTGATGTAATCACACAATCTTGCAGGCATGCGTCTTGTTATTTGAGGCCTACTTGTACTTGGTTGATCTATAACTGTTGGTTTCTCTTGTCGAGCCTCTCTTTCGACTTGAGTTTCTGGTTCTTCAAGTAGGATTCTCACTGAATCTTTCTTGACATTTTTAGCCCAATCCCATTCTTTAAGCTCATCTATGATGACGTCCCTACTGATCACAATCTACTTGTTCACTGGGTCGAACAACTTGTAATCTCCTATCGAATGATAATCAACTAGAATCATTTGACTCGACTTGTCATCAAGTTTTCTTCTCAATTGATTTGGCACATGTCTATGTGCAATAGATCTAAATACCTTCAGATGACTCAAGCTAGGCTTCGTGCCAGACCAACATTCGTCTGAAGTAATTCCTTCTAGCTTCTTCGTTGGACATCTGTTCAATATGTATGTTGCAGTTGACAAAGCTTCACCCCAAAACTCTTTAGGTAAATTTTTGCCTTTCAACATACTTCTCACCATATTCATGATGATTCGATTCTTTCTTTCTGCAGTTCTATTCTGCAGTGGAGTGTAGGGTGGCACCACCTCATGCACAATCCCCTCTTTCTCACATAACTTGTTGAAGTCTTTCGACACATATTCTCCACCACCACCAGTTCTCAAAATTTTGTGCTTTCGACCACTTTGTCTTTCGACCATAGACTTAAACTTGACAAATACTTTGATCACTTTACTTTTCTTCTTGATCAGGTAAGTCCACAGTTTTCGACTGTAATCATCTATGAATGTAACAAAGTATTTGTTACCTCCCATCGAATCCACCTGGATTGATTCACATACATCAGAGTATATGACTTCAAGAATAGCCTTCGACATGCTTCCTGCATCTTTGTTGATGCTATTCTTGTGCTATTTCGCCTGCACACATTCCTCACACACTTCGTTTGGAGTGTCAATTTTTGGCAATCCTAAAACCATATTTCTTCTCTTCAAATCTCTGACGTCTCTGAAGTTGAGATGACCTAATCGATAGTTCTATATCCATTCATCTCTGCTAGCTGCAGTCGAAAGGCACTTGTGCTCCATCACATTAAGTTCAATCTTGAAGGTTCTATTTTGAGACATGAGAGTCTTTAAGATTAATCTTCCATTTGCATCAACGACTCTCATCATCTTGTCTTCGATCGACACTTTGTAGTTCTTTTCGACCAACTTCCTTATACTGAGCAAATTGCTCTTCATGTCTGGTATGTACCACACATTGGAAATTACTGATCTCTTGCCATCTTTCCTCGTAATCATAACATCACCAATACCTTCAGCTGTTAGGGTATTGCCATTTGCAAATTTCACTATGTTCTTCATCGAGAGTTTTATGTTGACAAACCAATTTTTCCTTCCAAACATGTGTGATGAGCATCCTGAATCCAAGTACCATTGGTCCTTGAATCTATCTTCATCTCTTGTTGTGACCATCAGCATCACTTCTTCTTCTTCATGCTTTGCGAACTTTGCATCACTTTCTTAATTCTTTCGCTTTACTGGACAATCACTCGAATAGTGACCATACTTCTGACAATTGAAACACTGAATATGACTCTTGTCAGGTTTTCGACCACCACCTCTTCCTCTATTTGCAACACCACCTCTTTGGTTGCCTTGGTATGGTCTTCTCTGATTCAACACGTTTTCTTGGTGCTGATTTCCTCTACCAGTCGAATTGTTGTAGCCACCTTTATCTTTGTTGTCGAACCACTTTCCTTTGCCTTGCTTTTCTTTTGCTGATTGAGCCTGCAAAGCCACATCACTCTTCGACTTGCCTGCAACTCTTTCAGTCATTCTTTGTTCACGAGATTCAAGTGTCCTTTGAAGCTCTTCCTACGACAAAGATGACATGTTCTTCGACTCTTCTATGGCAATTACCACATCGTCGAACTTCGGAGCCAAATATCTCAAGATCTTCGAAACAACTGCTCTTGTTGTTAACGTTTCTCCACAAGTCTTGATTTAATTAACTAGTTTCGTAACCCTAGTGAAGAAATCATATATGCTTTCACTATTTTCCATTTGAAGTAATTCATACGTTCTTTTGTGAGTTTGTAACCTCACCTCTTTCACTTTCTCAGCGCCTCCAAACGATCTCTTGAGAATCTCCCAAGCTTCTTTTACAGATTCTACATCACTAACCTTTTCGAAATTGTCTGGGCTGACACATTGGTGAATTATAAAGAGAGCTTTATAATTCTTCTTCTTCGATTCTTTGTATTCTGCTTCTTCTTCTGAAGCGTCTTCATCAAACAGTTCTAATCCATGTTTGACAAGATCCCAAAGACCTTGAAAACAAAATATAACCTTCATCTGTTTGCACTAATTCTCATAGTTATCACCTTTAAGAATTGAGAGACTTGTTGGAAAATTTCCGTTAGCGTAATTCATTGCTATCGTGAATTTCTTCTTCTTCTTCTTCTTCTTCTTCCTCGATCGTTCTTGATCGTTTTTCCCTTGAATCACTCAACCGGAGCTCTTGATACCAGATGTTGGAAATCCACCAAAACATATGATGAATTTCTACCAATCTTGATGTTTAAGATTAATGTCACCACACAATAACAACGGATTATATGAAAGAATAAAAGAAAGAAAGAAGACAATGATTTTTCTGCAGAGTTTCTCTCTGCCTATAAACTTTGGAAAACTTTGTTATTCACTTGCAACTGCAAATTCTGTGAATACAACTTGATTGACTTAACTAAATCAAATCTATCTATTTTAGATTTAAATCAAATGTGTGTGTAACAAACTATTTCCACACTTCTAAACAAATCAAATATTTTCGACACTCCCTTGTCTCTGTCAAACAAATTGCTTAAACACATGGAATTACTTTCAACAGGTTATAGAGATTAAATCCAATAACTACAACATATTTAATCTTTCCTAATTAATACTTACATTAGAGAAAACGTACGAGGAATGAGGGAATATTTATATAGAAAACATAAGGGATATCTCTACATAGCTCAGCACATATAATGTGCTTTTATTTAGTTTCTATCCGTCTAGATGCAAGTTTTCAGACCTATTTTTTCATGATTATCTGTAACGTAATGCCTAATCCCTATTCACTTTCTTATGGTTTTGTTTTCCAGGATGATCTGAAACTGCATTACTCTGGACTCCACACACCTCACTTCCACAATTTGTCTGATCTTGTTAAGGAAAAGCTTGCATCGCAAGTATGTTACAGAATTTCAATTCAATTTATCTAATGATACAATTTTCATGTAAAGATACGCGGTTATAAAACTTTTGAGGGTTTTGCTGATATCTCTACTTATGTACATGTCTTGGTAGACAAGAAACCATGCTCAAATGCAGCTATCTGACTCATCAGATGATTCTTCAAATGTGTTAGTTTTTCAGGTAACAGAACATATGCACCTTTTGAGACCCATTTTAACAAAACTTGTGCCCACATTTGTGAGTGTCTCTGTGTGTAGTAGACACACAATCTAATTGTCCGTTGAAAGCATCTTTCCCATTTTGATTTTTCTGTCACCAATCACTTGTGCTTCTGTTTTTTTGAAGTTTAATATGTTTTTTGGTCTATATAAAGTCAGTGAGTTCTGGCGCTGGTCCTCACAAAAAAAATCCCTTGGTTTTCATCCCTACAATCTGAACTCACTATTAAATGCACTTTTGATATCCTTATTTTTGTGGATTTATGATTTTAAAGGGATGAAAACAATAGAAAGGACCAAATCCTAAATTTTCTTATTTTACAAGGACCGGCAACAATATTAGCAAAGAGGAATGATAACCAAAACAAAAATTGACACCAGACCAAAAGCAAAATTTTCTCATTTTATAGGGACAAAAATCATATTTAATCCTCTTTTTTACTTCATGCTGCAGATTGTCGGCGACTTTCCTTTCACTACAGATATTGCACTTATCTCTGGAACTGATTCAGAAAGTTCTAGTGTAGAAGAGCGTGTCAATAGTCTTACAGGTTCTTACCACTTCTGTATAGTGTTTTTTTTAATGGTGTGTATATTTATGTTCTTTCATACAAAGGGAGAACAAACTTAATTATTTACTTTGTTGCAAGGGTGGTTTTTTTCTTTGAAAACCTTATCAAGTTTACAAATAACATGGGGATTTATACAATTGTATTGCTTATATGTGTTCATTAATGTAATGACTTAAATCTGGAAGAAATATCTATTTTTTGTTCAAATTCATTTTGGGTTTTCGACTATTTAGATGTTTATGTTTAAATATTATTTTATTTTAAAGAGAACTAGGATATTCTTCACTAATTTAGTTAACATCAATGTCCTAAGTCAATTTGTAATTATTTGTTTCTTTGCTCAATGTTAGGAGCCTCACTGTCCAATGAACTGAAATATAAAGAACAAGCATTTGATGAAAAGATTGAGAAAACTTTCAATTTGGCTGAGAAGGTACCGAGTTCATTGTTCTTTAACTTATTCTTTTATTTCACCTTTTCCAATTCAAGGATGTATCCCTGTTTGATTTTTCAAAATTAGTACGCATCTCGCAAGTTTCATATAATTAGGTAAATTCACTTAGACGTATATACTTGGTAGAAGTAAATTCTTTATCGTACGAGTGGATTTCCAGGTGGATTCAGAATCCGTTTCTGTTGGTAAGTATGCTGTTGGAAGCTTATTAGGTGGCATCGGCTACTTCTATGGCCAGTCAAAAATTGCTCAGTCAAGAACCCTTGATGTAAGTTTTTACTTTAACTTGTTAATAATAGTCTTTATTGAAAAATATGCCACCCTAATCAGTATGATTATCACTAATTTCATAGTTATCTTTCATGTCTTATTTAGTCTTGGTAAAGTATTAAATTTAGAGACGACAGACAAAAAAAGTACATGGCCGAAGATTGCTAACCAATAAAGGACTGAACTCTTACTAAATTGAAACTTTCTTCAAGTGCTTACAGAAATGAATTTATGCGTACAGAAAACCAAGACAAGCTTATTAACTAGAAATTCACGCTGATGTTTAGGATTCAGAGTGGGTTGTTTTTGTTTGCAGCATAGAGAACATGATGCTTACTTATCATATTGGCCTGCTGAGCTTTACACGGCTGTACCATGTCGGCCAATCTTCCCAAGAGGATTTTTATGGGATGAAGGTTTTCATCAACTTGTAATCTGGTTAGTTTTCCAGTGCTAGTAATATAATAATCCATGACCACCATCACCGACACTATTAGTATTGTTCTTGTTTAAAATTCTCCAAAGTGCAGATAAGTGCTGTATAATCTTGACAGCGCAAGACATACTGGTATTATTTAACAAACAAATCACGTTTGGTCAGTAAATTTTGCTTTATTTGCACTCATGCACATTAAGCAGGCGCTGGGATATTCATATTTCATTGGATATCATTGGACACTGGTTAGATTTGATGAACATTGATGGATGGATACCACGAGAACAAATTCTCGGGGCTGAAGCACTAAGGTTTAGTATTAAACATTTTTTTTCCTGAAATGAGGGCAGCAATCTTTTTAGCTATCCCTGTGACATTGATTGTTCTGTACTTGCAGTAAGATCCCAGAGGAATATGTTCCTCAGCATCCTACAAATGCAAATCCTCCAACTCTGTTTTTAGCATTAAGCGGTATATCATCTATACCATTATATAGACTCTTAAGTTAACTACCACGTAACTAGTTTTTCGATTGGAGCTTTTTTTAGAAAAAATTATCCTTAACAATTCAGTTATTTTCCAATTCAAATTCAATTGTATACCAAACAAAAATTGAAAATTAACTACCTATTTTGGTTGAACATTTCTTTTTGTTACAAATTTCTTTTAAATTAAAAACATAAATAAAATATTGAAAGTGATAATTAAACAATTTTAGATAGTATATTATTATAAAATCGAAAAAAGTTAATTACTAAATTCAAGTAAATATACTACAAAAAAATATAATAAATCATATAGTATACAACATAAGTTATAGCTTATGGTAATGTTAATTTTATATTTTCCCTCTTTTATGTTATTCTTCCCCCTAGTTATGACTTATGAGAATCACTATTTCTCCTGAGATAAATATGTCTTTGTTTTGAGTAAGCCACCTCAATTTCTAAGAAGTACTTGAGTTTCTCAAGGCCCTTTATCTCAAACTCTACTGATGATTTCTCTCTGAGCAGTTGTCTTAGTCAAATCAATCTTCTGTAACAATCATATCGATATAAACAAGAAGTTCAATTAGTTTTCCTCCATGTGAATGTTTAAAGAACAAAGGGTGATCTTCTTAGCTTTTCTTCCAAACGAAGCACACCATTGTCTATGCGAATTTTCCAAATCATGCAAAAAGGGACTGTTTTAGTCCATCTTCTTCAATCAACATTCTTTGTTGGCTCCACCTGTGAGACTAAAGTCTGGTGGAATCTCTAGTTACACATCTTCTTCAAAGTTTTCTAGTTAGAACGCATTTTTAACATCAAGTTGTTGCAATTCCCATCCGAAGTAAGTAGCAAGATATAGTAAAATCTAAACAATATTTATTTTTTGCACGTGAACAAATGTCTACTCATAATCATTTCGATATGTCCGAGTATATTCTTTTGCTACTACTTGGGTCTTGTAACAATTGATGATACCATTTGATTTATGCTCTACTGTATAGATACACTTGCATCTAGTTTGCTTCATGCGTCCTTGTCCCTCAACAATCTCCCAAGTGCTATTATTCTCAAGTTCTTTCATTATCCATAGCTAGAACTTAATTTTTATCTTTCATTGCTTCTTAAACAAATGATAGAACTCTCTGAGTCAACAACGACAAAAAAATTCTGATACTGCAGAGAAAGATGTTTAAAGGAAGCAAATTGAGAAATAGAGTTATCCTTTCTCCAAGCATTGCATAAATCATTTGGATTAGTATAACGATTATTAGAAATCTAAGAATCACCAATAGAGGAATCACTTTCAAGCTAATAGGGTTTAATTCTTCCCGGATACACTAGAACTGGTGTCGAAGACGTTGATTTCATTCAAAATAGAAGACAGTGGAAGAATCAGAATAGAACAAACTCGGGTTTAGAAATTGAACCAAGAATAAGAACCGAAATAAAAATAGACTCGGGTTTATTAGTTGAACCAAGAAGATGACTCAAAATGGACGACAATGTAGATTCAGAAGTTGAACTAGGAGCAGGAACTGAGACATGTGTTTTAGAAAAACTAGGATTAAGGATTGGAAACTCAAACTAAGATTCACTGTCATTCATGTTCTGCTCCCAAGGTTGGGTACGAGTGAAGTAAGATACATTTTCGTAATAGGTGACATCTTTAGAAACAAAGCACTTACGAATGAGAGGAAGATAACATAGGTTGGGTACGAGTGAAGTAAGATACATTTTCGTAATAGGTGACATCTTTAGAAACAAAGCACTTACGAATGAGAGGAAGATAACATAGGTTGGGTACGAGTGAAGTAAGATACATTTTCGTAATAGGTGACATCTTTAGAAACAAAGCACTTACAAATGAGAGGAAGATAACATATGTACTCTCTTTTGTTAGGATGATAGCCCACAAAGACACGTCTAAGTGCACGAGAATCCAACTTAGTTTGTTTTGCTTATGAATATGTAGGAAAGTTAGACACTTTGATACTCAAAACTTTGCATGATAGAAACAAAATTAAAAAATGAGACCATAAAGTGAACAAGTCTAACATTACCTAACATAAAATGACACAATTAATTAGATAAGCTGCTGCCAAAACCGCTTCACCCTAAATATGATTTTGGTACAAATATTTAAAAGAGAAGAGCTCAAGCAACTTCAAATAAGTGACAATTTTTTCTTTCGCCAACTCCGTTTTGTTGTGGTGTGTCAACACATGTAAATTCATGAATAATGCATTGTTTACTGTTTTTTAAAGAATCCCACATCGGGTGAAATATGGTTTGAATATATGTTCATAAGTGGGGACAATCTTCATCTTACAGTCTGATTTTGTAAGGTTGCGTTAGGCCCAACCACAATTCCAAGATGGTATAAGACCCTTGTTCAAGATCTGTTGGGTCACCTGGTATCTAGTTTCCGCTATCGAGTCATCTACTATTTATATCCACGCACCAAACCCAATATTGCTTGGCGTGAGGGGCGTGTTAAAGAATCTCATGTCAGATGAAATATGGTTGAACATGTTTTTATAAGTGGGGGCAGTCATCACCTTACAAGCTGGTTATGATTGTCATATTCATTTTCATTGTCAGAACGTAATTTTTTAATTACTTTTCCTAATTGTGTTTTAATCATATTGTAAAATTCAATGTACAATTAAGGTACTTATAAAAAAGAATCAAGTTACTCGAAAATATTCATCAATAAAGAAAACAAGCTACCCCATACAAGAAATATTAGAAACAGAGACAAGTCTCTAAAAATTAGAATGAATAAGATCAAATGGTTCGACACTTTTAGTATGACTCGAAGGAAAAGTAGTTCGATGATGTTTAGAAAACTGGCAAATGTCAAATGTAAAAGGTTTAACATATTGTTTTAAAAATAAGGATTGAAACATACATTTCATTAATAAAAAAGTAGGATGACAAAGAAGTTGTGTTGAAGACATATTTGTGAGGAAGAATCTAAATATGTTTTTATAGGCATAGTCAATAGCTTGAAGAATAACGAGTTTAATGCGATGGAAAGAAGTGAGATCTCTCTGTTCCTGGAGTGTGCTTTCAGTCGATTAGAAGCATGGTTCCAATGGCTCAATAAAACTCAGTCAGGTATACATTATACTGCAATGTGGGATGCTGGAAACAGATTGTTTCTTTCTGATCTTCTATATTTATCATCTCTCTTTAACACAGGGGAGCAAATGAGTAGCTACTATTGGCGTGGACGGGACAATGCGACAACACTTGAATTAAATTTAAATTCCCAGGTTCTAATATGCATTCGTAAAACGACAGATGTAACAATAGGAATATAGGACAATACTATCTGACCTTATATATAATTTCAAGTGCAACTATTCCGGCAGGTCAATTTGACCAAAACAGCTATGGGCATGCTTAGAACAAATGTTCTCATTTTTCCAGAAAGATTAAGCTTATTTGATGGCTTTCTCTGTTTGATACTAGAAAGTAGAATGTCATTGGCACATGCCTTGGATGAGTCTAAAACCCGCTCTCTCTTGCGGTTATGTTGTTTCTTTGAAATCAATAATAAGTAGACACGAACTTCTATTATGACAAATTCTTCGTTGTCCTGAATATAGATATGTGCTTCTAACTAACATTATCTCTGGCACTTCCAGACGCTTTCCTCTGGATTGGATGATTATCCGAGAGCTTCTCACCCAAGTTCAGATGAACGCCATTTGGATCTTAGATGCTGGGTGTTACTTGCAGCACAATGCATGCATTCCATTGAAGAGTTGTTGAATAAGGAAACCAAACCAGAAAAGGTACAATTTACAAAATAAATGTAGGCATACAAAAAAATCACCAAATTTAATTGACATATTGAATGAAATGATGCAGAATTATGGTTCTGCTGTGAAATTACTATCAGATCAAGAGTTATTGAACAAGGTATTTAATCAAATGTTTGCTTGGTAATGGAAACGCTAGAGAGTCAGTTACTTGCTACTGAAGTTATATCCGTACCTAATCTGTGCTTTTTGTCCCTTCAGATGCATTTTGATTACGCGTATGGTGCTTACTTTGATTTTGGAAATCATACGGAAGAGGTATGATATCCAGTTATTTATGTTTACTATCAGTATGCTTACTGTTTCACGATTAATAATACATGGGTTCCCTGTTCATGTCTGAGATTGAGATTGTCTTTACATGCTCAACCAAGCTAGGTTCAACTTGAATGGAAAGAATTGAAAGCAGAAAACAGTCATGTGACTCGTCAGCTTGTTCGAGAAGTTTTAGAGAGCCCTGTGTTGAGATTGGTTCCCCATATTGGCTACGTTAATTTCTTCCCATTCATGGGGAGAATCATTCCATCTGTAAGTAGCGCACTTAATTCTGAATAGTATGACTTTTTATGCTAAGAATTTAGATCATGCTTGGTTAATTTCTTAGTTAGATAATAAACAAAATGAAATTTTTTGATCTTACTATCTTATTCAGGGATCGTGGATCCTGGAGAAGCAGCTTGAACTCATTTCAAATCGCAGCCTATTATGGAGTGACTATGGACTTCGTTCTCTTTCCAAAACAAGGTCTCAGCCTACACTCTAATGCATTTTGAATGGATTAAATTTGAGTGGACCTTTCAGCATATGTGGATTACAAAGTGAACATAAAATGATGTTTTTTTTTGTCCAGTTCCTTGTACATGAAATACAACAATGAACATGATGCTCCATATTGGAGAGGTTCAATTTGGATAAACATGAATTACAGGGTCCTTTCAGCACTCCACCATTACTCTAAAGGTATATCTGCATATACTCAACTCTATTAATTGCTTCTCAAAACTATTGCGCTTATGTTGAATCTTGCAGAGAATGGGCCATATCAGGACAAAGCTAAAGCCATGTACAAAGAATTGAGAAGCAATTTAATTAGGTATCGTTTGATTTTGTCTAATACAGCTGGAATCTTGGTTAAAGATATTTACAGTTTTTTAAAATGATGTATTTCCCTGGTAATGCAGAAATATAGTGCGAAACTATCAACAGACTGGATTTCTGTGGGAGCAGTACGATCAGATTAAAGGAAATGGAAAAGGTGCACATCCATTTACAGGTTGGACATCACTTGCTGTGTTAATAATGGCGGAAGCATACGACACAATTTAGGAGGAGAAACTCTCTTCTCAGTGTTCATTCATAACTACCACCAAGGTAAATATATCATGCTAGGCTGTAATTGAAATATTATAAGATTTATTTATAATTTCCAGTGTGTATTTACATCTAAAACTTCTCAGCTTTGAGGTATATTTCACTTACCCTCCTTAAGAATCTATATAATCATTATTTGATAAGTTAGCCTTATTTGTGTTTTATAACCCAAGTGTTTCTCTTAAATGTGCCAAAATTTTCAGTTAACTAAACAAGGATGTCACACAGAAAAGATTGCAACAAGAATTACCAAATGAAGAATATTATTCTAAAAAAATGGTGAATATGGCTGCAAGCATTAAAAATAAAAATTCACACAACCATAATGAATGTTATCATGCTATAAAAACTCAACAAGGTGAAAGGTGAATAATGAAATATATAAAATTGAAATTGGAAAGTAGATCTAGAGTTCAAACACATAAAAGACTACAAAAACAACTGACTGCTAAACTCCTCCTCGTGAAGTCGGATCCTCTTGTACCAACTGTTCCTCCCCTCATCATCATGTTCTTCAGTAGTGTGTGTTTAAGTACATCAATGAGATGATCTTTTCACATTGTCTTGATCGCTGGATAGGAAAGTATAACACATGGTTGTGAGTATAAAATTATTTGAGTATAGAACAGTAGAAAGAAAGTTCAATACTAATAAAGATTAAACAATTTACCTGCTGCAAAGTTGCAAAATAAATTCCAAGTTAGATTTGAAAGTCTTTAAAAATTTCCATATAGGTGAGCTCTTATTTACTTGCTTCACAATAGATTTATTTTCCCCTTTGTCCATAATATCCTGTCTAATTTTCTCCACATCTCCTTGGTTATATTTCCTTTTTATAGTCATAAAACTCAAACCATCAGGGATCAATGTGGACGAGAAATCATGATACAAGACTCCAACAATATTTTGAGGATCATTTATCTTCCATATTATCTTTATCATTTTTCCATTTTCCCAATAGCCCATATATATTGTTCCATTTGAACATCTGTACTCTCCGATGCCATTGAAAATGTCACTTTTGAATTCACCTTTGTAGACATCTCCATTTGCAAATCTATAAACTCCAGACCTCTTGAGTCCATTTGACCAAAAACCGTCCAAAACAGTACCATTAGCCCACTTCATGATCCCTCCTCCTTCTTTTTTACCTTTTTCCCAATTTCCAGTATAGATACATCCATCCATCCAAGTTATAGTGCCTTTACCATGGAAAAAATTCTTATAAAATTCACCATCATACTTAGTTCCTGATGGCCATGTGACCTCGCCTTTTCCTGACATCTCTCCATCAACCCAATCACCCTCGTATATTGTTCCATTTGACCATGTACACTTTCCGTTGCCATGGAGAAGGTTATTCTTGAAATTGCCGATGTAGACATCTCCATTTGCAAATCTATAAACTCCATACATCCTAAGTTCATTTGACCAAAAACCATCAAAAACACTACCGTTAGCCCACTTGATAGTCCCTCTTCCTTCTTTTTTACCTTTTTCCCAATTTCCAATATAGATACATCCATCCTTCCAAGTTGTAGTGCCTTTACCATGGAGAAAATTCTTATAGAATTGACCCTCATACTTATTTCCTGATGACCATGTGATCTTTCCTTTTCCTGACAAATCTCCATCAATCCAATTACCCTCGTATATTGTTCCACTTGACCATGTAAACTTTCCGTTACCATGACAAAGGTTACCTTGGAAGCTACCAATATAGACATCTCCATTTGAAAATAACTTCTCTTTATGACTACACTTTGCAAGAAATAATGAAATCATAATCATAATAATCATAGAGAACAAAATATATGGATACATTCACAGAGAACAAAATACATTGATTACTCAACAAAATACAACAAATGAGACGGATAAGTAGTGGTTTTTATGAGTATTACCATCCATGTCTTTCATGACTTGCAAACTTTCAGTGACAGAGCAATATGAGAAATACATACAAAATAGAAAATACGAGAAATACTTTCGAAACACAAAGAAACATAACTATATATGAATCTATCAGCATGTTTTCTCCACTTGTTTCGAAGTTTTTTTTTTCAACAACCTTTATTTTCAATAATATATCTGCATCATATCACAATAATCGTTTTAAAATAGCTTAGTTATTTGTATAATGTGCTCTTGAGAAAATTTTATATATCTTAAAACAAAAATATTTTGTTTTAAAATTAGACCTGATTAAACCCTGGATCGTTATAAATAAACAAATATTTTTTATTTATATAAAAATAATAATGTAATAGAATAATTATATTTTTAAAACGATGTAAAAAATTTATTCATGATTTTATAATAATTAAAACTTAATAATTTATTTAATTTTTCTATTCTTTTTATTTTATCACAACAGAATCAATGTATTTCATTAACTAAATGGAGTTCAATATAATGAAGAATCAAATTTAAAATTTTATATTTATAAATTTTAAAAATAAAGAAAAAATGATTGATGCACTACATTATCAATATAATATCTTTTAACTCAAAAAATAAAACAATACAAAAGTATCTAAAATGTTTAGAAACTTTTTTTTTTTTTTTTGTGTTTTAGAATTATAGTTTACCCTATCATAAAGTAATTAACTTTAATTTTTACTCAAACAATTTTTGAAAAATTAAAAGCAAGGGGTTATAGGCTAGATAGGTCCAAGAATTTCATAATAATAATAATAATATAATATTAATAATAATAATAATAATAATAATAATAATAATAATAATAATAATAATAATAATAATAATAATAATAATAATAATAATAATAATAATAATAATAATAATAATAATAATAATAATAATAATAATAAATAATTAATAACGTAATATGTATTCTATATTATTATTTAAAATCTATTTTTATTTATCAAATGGATAGAGAACAAGAAAGTAATTGAGAATAATTTATATTTATAATATAAGAGTGATTAGAGAATAAATAAGGAAATGAAGAACATTTTGGTTTAAAATGAAACTCTTTTTTTATAAATCAACTTTTATATGTTTTTTATAATCAAAACAAAATCCAGTTTTTCCTGTTTTTGAGATTTTCCAATTTAAATCTCGTTTAGTTAGAGTTTCCAGTTTTCAGCCTGGTTTTGATTAGCATGCACTAAACTTACACCTTACTTATAAAACAAAAGTATATAAATTTATAGCAATTAAATAAACTATAGACAATTAAAAAAGCAAAAAGAAAGTTTGAAAGTGAGAGACTTCAGGAGGTGCAGAGTTGCAGCAAGCAACATGATCAAGAAAACGCATAAAAATAATAATGAAATTACACAAACAAAAAATAATAGTAGCATTGCAACTTTCTACATAGACAAAAACATAACTAATATGAAAGAAACGAAAGAGTTACGTGGTTTACCGGATTGCCATTGCCGTGTTTTTTTTATCTCCTTTTCTACTCCGATTATTCTACCCTTCGATCATTCTCTAAACCTTCTATTTATAATCATAATCTAGGGTTTATATTTAACTTTAATGAATATGCACTGACAACATCTTCTATCATTAATTTACACTATTTATTACCCATTTTCTCTTATATTTTAGGAAACAAAAATTTCCCTGATTTGTTAACATAAAATGTCTTATTATTTTTATAAAGAAAATGAAATGTGCAGTGTAAAATAAAAGAGAAAACTAATGTATACAGTCAATCAATCAATTATGTATTTAATTAAATTATTTTTTTATTTTAAATTATTTTTATTAATAACAAAATATTTGTTTTCTATTGAATGACAGTGTAAATCAATATACTATTTTTTAATTCAAAATAAAGTTATGTGTATCCAGCATTTGTCAAAATGATAGCTTTTTATTGGACTGGTTCTGTAAAACTATTTATTAGAATAAATTGATAAATTTATATTTTCCTTTTATAAAAATGTGTTTTAATGGATTGGTTTAATTATTTTATTAACTGTGGGTTTTAAAACATGGAATGACCTAGATTTTACGATAAGCATTATTCATTATATCTCATGGATGATTCAGAGGCTTTACGATGAAATTCCAATAATATTGTTAAAATTAGAGTTTTGAAATCCGGACACATCTGCTAAATATTCGGATTTCAAAATTTGGATATTTTTGAAACTTTGATTTTGCTTTATCTTGAGATTGGCTTATATGTGATATGTTGAAGTGAGCATGAATTTCAATTTCTAAATTGATAATTGGAATTTTGAAATTTGGACATATATTTGAACTTTGAAATCTGAATAATTAGCAGGTATTTTATTTATCAATTTGTGGGGGTTATAACCTCCTCAAATTGATATGTTGTGCTTTTTAAAAATGGCGAATTTGCGGAGGTTGAAACTCTTAAATGTCTTGATTTTATTTTATTTAATATTTAATGAATATTTATGCTATTTAAATTTAAATTATAATATTTATAATTTGAACTTTATATCTCAATTAATTATATATATTTCAATTTTTTATTTTCTTAATAAAAATATATATTTTTATTAAAACATTAGAAAATAATATATATATATATATATATATATATATATATATATATATATATATATATATATATATATATATATATATATATATATATATATATATATATATATATATAGACTGGGTCGGACTGGCCCAAGAGCAACGATAAAGGCCCAATCCAAACGGACTTGTTAGGGGTCACGCCGATCTGAGGACCATAGCTATGCCCGACATACGTCACTGGGCAACATCCCCGTCCTCGTGTTATCCAGCTCGACCTCAGCTCGAGCACTCCTTCAACAGCGAACACGGTCCACTGCACTCTCAACGGGACCCCGAAAAGACCGCGTCCTTGTCCGCCCGCACTTCACGCAGGACATCCAGGAAGGGGACCACGTGCGGGTCCCCACTACGCACGTAGAACCTGGCAGTTCCTCAATTGGGCCAAACCTGCCCGGCCCAATGAAGGAACCTTGGCCCAGCGCTGGGGGCTATAAATACCCTCTGTTTCCAGAGGGTCAGGTATTCATTCTATCACCTATACTCACACTTTGCCTGCTCGTGCTCTTACTTACTTCAGCATCGGAGTGCTTTGCAGGTACCCCCCCCACCTCGTTCAAAACTTCAGCTCGGAGCCAGCCGTGACGGTACAAGTCTGATCAAGTCAGATCAGTGGCGCCGTCTGTGGGAAACTAGCTTCCCCGTCTTACAAAACTCAAAGACCAAAGCTCAAATTCAACTACCGCTGTCATGGCTGATCAAGCTCGCGATGAGCAGAACGTCCGTGTCGTCGACACTAATAACGACACCGCGGACAAAAACGGACACCTTGATAACGCCGGCAACCCCGGCCACAACACCATTCCTGCGACAACCGCCTCCGAAACTTCCACCTACAGGGACGGAGCTACTGCATCATCTTCCTCGGTCCCTCCATCACTCGAAGACGACCCGGCGGCCCTCGCACACTACAGAGCTTCCCGGTTCCAGGAAGTCCCCGTCCCCGCCGGGGCGGATGCCACAACTCAAGCGCTGTTCGCAGCAATTAATCAAACGAACTATCTCATCTTCGCCCAAGGAGAGAGACTGAGGGCGCTTGAAGACAAGCGAAGACCCCCGAGGAGGCATCGGAGACCCCATACTCCCCCTCCTCGAGTGACTGAAGCTCGACATCCATCTCCCCTCTCGAAGCCAATCTCCCCGGCCAAAAGAGAAACGGCCCCATCTGGAGAGGCCCCCCATCATTCAAGCCGGAGAACCTAGTCGTGACCCGGCGAGACAGGAAAGAAGGCACTCCAGAGATGGGCGTGTGAAATTCAACCACCGAGCATCCCGCTCGAGAGAGACTCAGCACGACCTGGACCGTCGTGCCAGACAATATTACAGGTCCCCATCTCTATCTCCGGAGAGAAGCGACGAGGACGACCCCCGCGGTCCCCTGTCACAGGCTATTATGGAAGCACCCATCCCCCGGGCATGGAGAAGCCCCCTCACTTGAAGGAGCACGATGGAGTCGCGGACCCGGTCGACCACATAGACGGGTTCGAGGCTATGCTTCATTATCACAATGTCGGGGCCCCCATCAAGTGCCGTCTATTCCCCACGACTCTCAGGAAGGCGGCAATGGACTGGTACAAAGGACTCGCCCCGGGCTCAATCACCTCGTGGCGGAACCTGAAGAACCAGTTCATCAGTTCCTTCACAGCTTCTCGGCGGCATCCGAAGACCGAGGCGGCTCTCGAGGCCATCATCCAAAGACAGGATGAAACCTTGAGGGAATTCATCAACCGCTTCAACCGGGAAGCAATACAGGTCCCCTGTGCGGACCATATGAAGAGATATTTGCTGGAGAGAGGGCTCCTCCCCGACACGGAATTCAGAAAGGCCGTGGGTATCGAGCCACCTCGGACATTCGATTCCCTTCTCGAAAAAGCTCGGGCATACATGGACTACGAGGAGAGGGAAGCGGCCAACAGAGCCCGAGATCCCAGGACTCGTGGTCCAAGCAGCAGCTCGCGCCAAGAAGCCCCTCCTCGACGAACCGGGGAGAAAAGGAAAGAAGACAGACCCCGGGAGGTCTGGGAACAAAGAGGACCTTCAGGGCGGTTCACCGAGTACACTCCACTCACAGCTTCCCGCGAGCGTATTCTGGCGGAGTGTGCCAACACTGATTTCAAGGACGGCAGTGTCAAACGTCCCCGACCTGCTCCCGCCAAGCCCGGAGCAGACAAGAACAAATATTGTCAGTACCATAGGAGCCATGGTCATCTGACTGAGGACTGCGTCCACCTCAAGGATGCCATCGAAACCCTCATCAAGGGAGGGAGGCTCGCGCAATACCGGCAGAACGATGCTCCCCGTCGTGACGCCCAAGAAACTAGAGAGCCGGAGGAGGATGTCCGACCATCTGACGAGTCGATCCCTATCCAAACCGCCTTCTCCGTGACCACGCCCGAGGACTTTGACTTCCCCGAGCACCTGCAGGAGCCGCTCACAACGCACAGCAGGTGAGAATATTTCCCCTCCGCCTTGGTCATCAACGGCGGCGGGTTCAACGACTTGACCATCAATTCAGCCAAGAGGAAGCTGGACGAGCTGGTCGACGCGACTCCCCCGCAAACAGTGACGTTCGAAGGGGTGAAGGGCAGGTCAGAGCCCATCACCTTCTACCTAGAAGAGCTCTCCGGCGGAGCCCCAAACGCGGTCATCCCCTTACTGATAAGGGCAAGAATGGCCAATTTCAATGTACATCGCATCCTGGTCGACGAAGGGAGCTCCGTCGACGTCATGTACAGCCAACTGTTCCGAACCCTACAGCTGGACGACTCACATCTCTCGCCGTATGTAGGGTCGGACTTACAAGGTTTCAACGGCTCGACCTCTAAACCTTGGGGATATGTCGAGCTTCTGGTTACGTTCGGCGAAGGGACGGCTACAAGATAAGTCAAAGTACGCTTCCTAGTCATCGACTGCCCGTCTCTGTACAACTGCATCTTGGGGAGACCGACACTGGCAGAGCTGACAGCGGTACCCTCGACCGTTCACCTGAAGATGAAGTTCTACACCAAGAGGGCACGAGTAGCTACTATCCAAGGAGACCTAGCCGCTGCCCGCAGGTGCTTCAACGCCGCTTCTAAGGGACGTGATACTGTCGACATAGGGACCAGACCCGCCAAAAGGACAAGACAGGAGCCCGACAAGAAAGAGTCCCCCGAGGAAGAAGTCCAGAAAGCCCCACCAAAGTTCGATTCCATAGCTCTGGACACTCGCTTCGACCAGGACGAGCCATCTAGCGGCGAGCAAATCCCACTCCGACCAATACCGGACGAGGATTTTGAACTCGTCCCCCTCGGCACGGATCCGACCAAGGGAGTGAAGATTGGCAAAGACCTCCCGACTTGGCCAGGAAGCAAATCAAGGCCTGCTTGTGCGAGAATGCTGATCTGTTCGCCTGGAGCGCCGCGGAAATTCCCGGACTCGACCCTGAGGTCGCCTGTCACCACCTCGCCATAGATCCAGCCGCTAGGGCCGTAGTACAACGTAGGCGTAGGCAGTCTCCAGAAAAAACGGAGGCTGCTGAAAAAGCTGTAAAAGACCTCCTAGAGGCAAATTTTATTTCTAAAGCCCGGTACTCCACCTGGTTGTCAAACGTTGTACTCGTTAAAAAGAATAATGGAAAATGGAGGATGTGTGTTGACTATACCGATCTCAACCGGGCTTGCCCGAAAGATGCTTTCCCTTTGCCTAACATTGACATGCTGGTCGACAACTCGGCCGGCTACAAAACATTGTCGTTCATGGATGCCTACTCGGGATATAACCAAATTCCGATGGCCGTGAGTGACAAACACTACACGACTTTTATGACCAGCTCGGGCAACTATTACTACAACGTAATGCCCTTCGGACTGAAA